GTTCTGGAAGAAGTGCAGCCAATGTGGTCCTTGGAGGCCAAGATGGCCAAACTTCGTCTCTTACACTTAGGACATATTGTCAGGAGGTACTAGTCACTGGAGAAGTATATTATGTTTGGTAAGGTGGAGGGTCGGAGAAAAAGAGGAAGACCCCCAATGAGATGGATTGGCAAAGTGGCATCATCGATGGACTCAAGCGTGGCAACAGTAGTGAGTTGGCCCATGATTGGGCAGTGCTTCATTCTTCTCTGCATAGGGTTGCTATGAGTTGGTACTGACTCAATGACACTAACAACAACAAACCATCAGTTCCTAGAGTCTATTTTTTTGCCAGTGCCTTCAGTGTACCTTGGACTTCCTCCTTCAGTACCATCAGTTCTTGATCATATACTCCTCTTGAAGTGGTTGAACATCGACCATATCTTTTTGCTACAGTGGCTCTGTATACCTTCCATCTTCTTTTGCTGTGTTCTGTGTCATTCAGTATTTTACCCATCTATTCCTCACTTGTCTTCTGCCACACAATCACAATTGTGTCCTCTGCTGCAGGATAGCCGTCTTCTCCGTGACGGTGTTGCACGATGATCGCATTGTTCTTGTGGCGGAGCAGCGGCCTGACGCCTCAGAGGAGGACAGCTTCCAGTGGATGAGCCGTGTGTTGCAGGTAGGCAGGCGAGCCCTCCGCTAGTCATCTCTCACCTTACCCCTCTGCCTTCCCTCCTTACTTCTCTATGCTCCCTACCTTTCCGCTACCTCTCTGCCCTCTCTGTTCACATTTTTGCCCTCTCCCCTCACCCATCTATCCTCCTTCTGTTCTCACTGTCTCTCAGTGGCCTTTCTGAGCTTCTGTGCTGCTGTGTGGGGCTCAAATGAATCTCTCATGGGCTTGCTTTGCAATTCTGTGTGGTATTCTCCATTTTTTCATGAACCTTTTGAAGGCCCCTTATATGAATTTTCTTTACCCATTTGTTGATGAACAATTTAGTTGTTTCCATCTTTTAGCCATTGTGAATAGTTCTTCAATGGACGTTGGTGTACAAGTATCTGTGTTTCTGCTTTCAATTCTTTTGGATATACACCTAGGAATGCGATTCCTAGATCATACGTAATTTTACGTTTAACCTTTTGAGGAACCACCAAACTGTTTTCCACAGTAGCTGCGCCATTTTACAATTCCACCAGAAGTGGATGAGGGTTTCAATTTCTTCACATTCTCACCAACACTAGTTATTGTCTTTTCTGCTCATAACCATCCTAGTGGGGATGAAGTGTTGTCTCATTGAACATTTCTCTAATGACTAATGTCAGAACATCTTTTTGTTTATTTGTTCATATTTTTTGTGAACGTCTATTTAAATCATTTGCCTGGTATTTTTTGGTGTTTGTCTTTGTATTGCTAATTTGTAGGAGTTCTTTATATATTCTGGAAATTAAATTATGGCATGTTTTTGTTGTTGCTAATGAAGTCAGCCTCCAACTCATAGAGAGACCCCTTGCATAACAGAACAAAATGCTACCCAGACCTGCAACATCTCATAACCCGTTGCAGATCAGACCTTTGTGCTCAATTGAGATTTTGTCAGCTGATTTCAGAGGTAGATTGCTAAGTCTTGCTTCCTATCTCTTCATAGTGTGGAAGCTCTGCTAAAACTTGTTAAGCAGCACACTGCTTCCCAGTATTTTCTTCTAGTCTATAGGTTTTCTGTTCACCTTGTTGATTGACAAGTTTAATTTTGATGAAATCCAATTTGTTTAGTTTGTCCTTTTTTGTCCATGTTTTTTGTGTCATATCTAAGAATCTTTTGTCTGAAACTAGATCTCAGAGTTTTACTTGTGTATTTTCTCATAAGAATTTTTTATTTTACTTCTTATATCTATCTCTTTGATCCATATGGGGTAAATTTTCATTTATGGTGTGAAGTATATGGAAATCTAATTATCCTAGCACTATTTGTTAAAGAGACTGTTCTTTCCCTATTGATTGATCTCAGCACCCTCATTGATAAAAATCAACTGATCGTAATGTACAAGTTTATTTTTGGACTCTTCAATTCTATTTCACTGGCTTATGTGTCTATAATTATACCAGTATTTGTCCCATTTTTGGTAAAGACTGTTTTCTAAAAGTCGTCTTGTCAGTTAGTCGTACTGTGGTGTCTTGTCAATTGCGGTGATTCTGGAAGCTATGCCACCAGTATTTTAAATACCAGCAAGGTCACCCATGGTGGAAAGGTTTCAGATGAGCTTTCAGATGAAGACAGATGAGGAAGAAGGAGTGACAAACTATTTCCGAATATTTAGTCACTGAAAACCCTATGAGTAACAGAAACACTGTCAAGATATAGTGCCGGATATTGAACCCCTCAGGTTGGAAGGCACTCAAAATGTGACTGGGGAAGAGCTGCCTTCTTAAAGTAGAGTTGACCGTGAGGATGTGAATGGAGTAAAACCCATGAGAGTAAAGCCCACGTGACCTTCATTTGCTGATGGGCACAACTCAAAATGAAGAGCAACAGCTGTAAACATCCATTGAAAATTGGAACATGGAATGTACGAAGTATAAATCTAGGAAAATTAGAAATTGTCAAAAATGAAATGCAACACATAAGCATCGATATCTTAAAAGGCATTAGTAAGCTGAAATGGACTGGTATTGGCCATTTTGAATCTGACAACCACATGGTTTACTATGCCAGGAATGACAAATTGCAGAGGAAAGGTATTGCATTCATTGTCAAAAAGAACATATCCAGATCCCTCATGAAGTACAATACTGTCTGTGATACGCTAATACCCATGTGCCTACAGGGAAGCCCAGTTAATACCACTATTATTCAAATTTATGCACCAACCACTAAAACTAGTGAGTATGAAATAGAAGAATTGTACCAACTTCTTCAATCTTAAGTTGATCAAACATGCAATCAAGATATATTGATTATTACTACTAGTGATTGGAATGCAAAGGTTGGGAGCAAAGAGGAAGGAAGGATCAGTAGTTGGAAAATATGGACTTGGTGATAGAAATGATGCTGGAGATCGCATGATAGAATTCTCCAAAATCAATGATTTGTTCATTTCAAATACCTTCTTTAGACAGCATAAGAGACGTGTATATACACATGGACCTCACCAGATGGAATACACAAAAATCAAACTACATCTGCGGAAAGAGGCGATGAAAAAACTATATCATCAATCAAAAAAAGGCCAGGGGCAGATTGTGGAACAGATCATCAGTTGCTCATGTGCAAATTCAAACTGTAGCTGAAATCAAAAGTCCACGAGAGCCACAATATGACCTTGAATATATCCCACCTGAATTTAGAGATCATCTGAAGAACAGATTTGATACATTAAATACTTAAGACTGAAGACCAGAAGAGTTGTGGGATGACATCAAGAGCATCATACATGAAGAAAGCAAAAAGTCATTAAGAAGACAAGAAAGAAGGATATCAGAAGAGACACTGAAACTTGCTCTCCAGTGTAGAGATGCTAAAGCAAATGGAATAAATGAGAAGGTGCAAGAGCTGAACAGAAGATATCAAAGGTCAGCTTGAGAAGACAAAGTCAAGTATTAGAACAAATATGCAAAGATCTGGAGTCAGAAAACCTAAAGGGAAGAATATGCTCAGCATTTCTCAAGCTGGGGGAACAGAAGAAAAAATTGAAGTCTCTACTTTTGTTATTGAAGGATTCTCTGGGCAGATTATTGAATGATGCAGAAAGCATCAAGAGAAGATGGAAGGAATATACAAGAGTCACTGTACCAAAAGGAAATGGTTGATGTTCAACCATTTCAAGAAGTAGCATATGTACAGCGAGAATCATTCTCACCCCCTCCACACACAGAGTAGACAGGGATGGGCAACTTGGACATTGGCTACCCAAAATGGGGGGTGGGAGGCTACAAAGGCAAGAAGTGACTGCCTTACAAGCTTTCAAGAGGGAACCTAGACCCAGAGGGCCTGGAGGAAGGTAGAATCTCCAGTGAGTAGTGTTCAATCTGACTAGGCGGGGCTGATGCAATGAAATGCAGACGGGTCTCTTGTGATATTAAGGTGAATAATTGTTATCAGGACTGACTGTGAGGGTTGGAAGTGTAAAGGTGGATGTTTTATAGCAAGGAGGGGAGTGATTGACTTTTTGGTCCTAGGGAGGTCCCTAGGACCATCAAGGGGAGAAGAGCAGAGAGCAGGACCCTACCCAGAGAAGCAGTGATGCCTGAAATGGAGGCAGAGATGATGACGTGGAACAATGGAGCAGCTGGAGACTTTAGATCCAGAGAGGGAGAGCGACTGTGTGCTGAAGACCCGAGGGGCACGGGGGAAGGATTGCATGGAAGGGATTGTAACCATGGCAATGAGACGATATACGGTAGAATGAATGTAAAACTAATGTTCTCCCATGTAAACTATCACATAATTCACAATAAATCATTTAAGAAAAAAACAAAAAAAAAGAAGTAGCATATGATCAAGAGCCAATGATACTGAAGGAGGAAGTCCAAGGTGCATTGAAGGAATTGGCGAAGAACAAGGCACCAGGAACTAATGGAATAAAAATTAAAATCTTTTAAGTAACTGAAGCAGCCTTGGAGGCACTCACTCATCTCTGCCAAGAAATTTGGAAGACAACTATCTGCCGACTGATAGGAAGAGATCCGGAATTGTGCCCATTCCAAAGAGGTAACCCAATGGAACGCGAAAATCTTCAGATAATCTCTTTGATATCCCATGTGGGTAAAGTTTTACTAAAGGTAATACAGAAACGGCTGCAAGCTTACATTGACAGAGAACTTCCAGAGGTTCAAGCCGGATTCAAAATAGGCTGTGGAACGAAGGATATCATTGCTGATGTCCAATGGATCTTAGCTGAAAGCAGAGAATACCAGAAAGATGTTTACTTGTGCTTCATTGACTACACAAAGGCTTTCGATTGTGTGGATCATGACAAGCTATGGACAACATTGAGAAGTATGAATATTCCTGGATACTTAATTGTGCTCATGAGGAATCTGTACGTGGATCAAGAGGCAGTTGTTTGAACAGAACATGGGAACAGTGAATGTTTTAAAATTAAGAAAGGTGTGCGACAGGGTTGTATTCTTTCACCATACTTATTCAACCTGTATGATGAGCAAATAATCCAGGAAACTGGGTTATATGATGAAAAACGTGGCATCAGGATTGGAGGAAGACTCCTTAACAGCCTTGCTTGCTGAAAGTGAAGAGGACTTAAAGTACTTACTGATGAAGATCAAAGAGAATATTGAACGTGCCATGGGCTGCCAAAAGAACCAACATATCTGTGTTGGAAGAAGTACATCCAGAGTGATCCTTGGAGGACAGGATGGCCAAACTTTGTCTCTTACTTTGGACGTATTGTCAGGAGGCACAGTTGCTGGAGAAGGATATCATGTTTGGTAAGGTGGAGGGTCAGAGAAAAAGAATCCATCGAGATGGATTGGCAATATGTCAGCATCAATGGGCTGAAGTGTGGCAACAACTGGCCCATGACCAGGCAGGGTTTCGTTGAGTTGTGCACAGGGTCACTATGAGTTGGTACCGACTTGATGGCATCTAACAACCACAAGAACAACAACACAGTTCCATAAATATGTGAAAATTGACTTTTAATTTCTGCAAAGAAGGCTGTTGGAATTTTGGTAAGGATTATGTTGACACTGTAGATGGCTTTGTTTCGTATTGACATCTTAATCATAGTCTAAGTCTTCTAATCCATAAACATGAATTGTACTTCATTTTGTTTTATTTTCAAACTGGTTATTGCCAATGTATAGAAACCTGGCTGATTTTTGTGAATTGATCTTGTATCCTGGCACTTTTCTGAATTAATTTAAAGTGTCGTTAAGTCGGTTCTGACTCATCACCACTTGAGGCCTAAATCTTTGCGGGAGAAGAAAGCCTCAACTTTCTCTCCTGGAGTGGCTGGTGGGCTCAAACCACAAATCTTGTGGTTTTTGTATGAAACTACTGCCCATATATATCTAGTGTCCCTGGGAGTCCTGGTGTGGTGTCATGGGTTAATGCGTTGGGCCACAAAGTTGGTTTGATCTGCAAGGTTGGTGGTTCAGGCTCACCAGACGTGCCTCAGAAACCGTATACAGGGTTGCTGTGGGTTGGAACTGACTCGTTGGCGCTTCACAGCAACAACTTCTTGTCCTTGTGGTTCGAACTGATATTGAAGTCCAGTACTTTATCCCACAACACCACACCAGAATTCCATGTATAGGTTGTTGCTCATTACCCTCAGATCAGTTCCACCTCATAGCAACCCTGAATAGGGTTTCAGAGTAACAGCTGGTGAGTTTGAATCGCTGACTTTGCAGTCCAGCACAGTGGCTCCATATAATACTGGACACTTCCATATAATGCCAGCCACTTCACAGGAGAAAGATGAGATTTTCTGCTCCCCTGAAGATGTAAAGTCTTGGAAACCCTTTTTTACAGAGTCGCTGTGAATCAGCACCAACTTGATGGCATTTAACAACAAACAGATTATACATGTATATGAAAGAAGTCTTTTAAGACTGCTTTTATGGTTTATATAACTGTCCAGATTTTAATGTAAGCAGTTACAGGTATATGTATGTATATATGTACTCAGTATGTGAATATGCAAGTTTCCCTTCCTTAGGTAAGTGGTAAAATATATACATACGTCTGCCATCTTGTTTTTCACATTTGACATATAATACCCAAGAGATGACTGTCCCCTTTAACCATTTAAATTGTGATGTTACCACAAATTTCAGCTTCTTACCACCTTGAATTTGCCAGCATATCCTCAGCTGGGTCTTCAAATGCACAATCAGACCGTGTCCTGCGTCCTTCCCACCAGGCCATCGACAGCATCCACCAGGTGGGCGTGTACTGCCTAGCTCTGGTTCCTGCGAACACCTTGCCCAAGGCTCCCCTCGGTGGAATTCACATTTCTGAAACCAAACAGCGCTTCCTGGAGGGGACTCTGCACCCATGTAATGTGCTAATGTGTCCCCACACCTGTGTTACCAACCTTCCCAAACCTCGTCAGAAGCAACCAGGTGAGCATTGCTTTACAGCATGCACCTGTCCATTATCACAACAGACAGTAGGCACAGTTGTGATTAGATGGGAAAGTGTTATTGTACCACTCTTCAGGACAGCCATGTCTTTGGGATTGGGGATTCAGAACAAGAGCAAGTGTGAGCACGAACCAGGCTCACCACCACCTCTTCCTCTCTGGTTCTATGAGCACCTTGTACCTTCTCCTGTGGTTTTGTTTTCACTGCTTCCCAGTGGAAATTGGTACTAGCCAATTTTGATAATGAAATCCCAGCACAACATCATAGCTTGAGAGGTTAGCAGGTGATCCCTTTGGAGTAGAAGCTGTGACCAAAGCACACTTGGGGTTCTAGACTTGAACGAACCTGTTGAACAACTCTGTGTCCTCAGAAGCCGTGCTGGTGCTGAGACCATGGGGAGGACGAGCTGCCCCCCCTGGCTCCTGGGGTCTGCCACAGCCACACAGGGTTAATGTGACCCTGAAAATTTAACATGTAGTCATATTCCCCTTCATGAGTTTTACTTATTTAAAAACTACTTTTAGAGAGAGGGAGAGGGGCTGTGTGCTGACGACCAAGGAGCAGGCTTGCAGGGTATACCCTTTGTTTGGCTGATGATGCATGGAGGGGATTGTAACCATTGCAGTGAGACGATATACGATAGAATGAATGTAAAACTAACGTTCTCACATATAAACTATCACATAGTTCACCAGAAAGCATTTAAAAAAAAAAAAAAAGAACAAGGGGACATTGGATGGAATTGAGATGCAACTCATTTAAAACAGATAAAAGAAAATACTGCTGCTGCTTTTTTTTTAAGTTCATTATACAATTATAATCCACTGTACAGGAAATTGTTGGGGCAAGTAATTTAATATATTTTTTTCTGTTAAAGTACTTGACTAAGTACTTTCTTGACTAAGAATACAATCTGTTTCTGCATTTATTATGGAAAGAAAATAGATGTGAAGGGTCACTTATCTTTTGTCAGAGTGAGTCACCATCTGCGTACTCCCTTCTTGACTCAACATTTCAAAATTGAATTGTGATGCTAATAAAGCGGGGCTGGGGCCTATCATATTAGAACACCTTGCCAGGTGAAAACACTAGACAAGTGTCACTGAGCATAAAGCCAGAGTCATTGATTCTGCCATCATTTCTTATCATGGAGCTCTGGTGTACAATAAAAAATGTGAAAGCCAAAAAAATAAGCAACTACTTTAAAGACAGGTTTAACTATTATATGCAGTTTTTCTTTTGTTTGGTTATGAAAATTTTTAGTGCATGCTAACTTTCATAGAACACAGCACTAAATAAAATGCATTGAATCAGGAAGATTTGGTTTTCTGATTTATATGTAAAATACAGTAAGTACTTAAACAATATATCATATGTTAAGAATTTGATGTGACTGAGGTTGCATATAGTCTGTTGAGTAAAATTTGATGACAATAAAGTTACAAGAAACCATTTACTTTTCATTGAGAATTTCCCTTATTTCCAGAAGTTGGTCCAGCCTCCATGATTGTTGGGAATCTGGTTGCTGGGAAGAGGCTCGCCCAGGCCTCTGGGAGGGAGCTCTCCCATCTAGAAGACAGTGACCAGGCAAGGAAGGTAAGGTACCCGACCTCAGAGCATGTCCCTGGTACCTCAGTGAGACCCAGTCACTCAGGTGCCTTCTCTGTACAGTTTCTGTTCCTGGCTGATGTGCTGCAGTGGCGCGCCCATACCACACCTGACCACCCACTCTTCCTGCTGTTGAATGCCAAGGTGAGCAGCTGCCTGCAGGCTCGGGCCACTCCAGGTCTGTTAGCATTACATTCAAGGCATAACAGGTCTTTTGGGTGGTGCCTCTCCTGTCTAACTTTATTCTGTCTGCCTTTTCTCTGTAGAGCATTCAATTTTCATATGATTTACACAATCATACTTTCACTGATTTTGTATTTAGCAGTGAAATTAAATTCTCACCAGCTCCAGATTTTTTCATTTAAGAATACTAGGTATATAGATACTCTTAAATGTTGAATGAAAAGATAATGTAACTCTTCATTTGTATGGTTAGGTTCTAAAGACCAGGTTATATGTAAAAATCACCATTATGTGAAAATGGAGGGTGATTATCACATAACTGCTAAACCACTGAAAATCATGGCCTAGCTCAATTGACACATAACCATAACCATCACATTAGTATTACTCTCACCTCACACCTCAGCATTTGTTACCCCCAGACGTGTGTTGTTAATGTTCAAAATAGATAGTAGATTTATTAGTATTGTAGATGCAAAGTGTTAGATGTGATAGTAAGTGAGGAGCAGATGTATTTGCAATGCAGATATACCATCTAAGTCCTGATTATAGGAGCCCATAGCATATAGTGTACACAGAGTATGTGTTGCTGACATTGTGGAGAATAGGAGGCTTTGTGTGTATTCATGTATTCATGCACTCCTTTACGTTTACTCCCAGGGCACTGTGACTAGCACGGCAACCTGTGTGCAGCTGCATAAGAAAGCTGAACGTGTGGCTGCTGCCTTGATGGAAAGGGGAAGACTGAACATTGGAGACCATGTAGCACTGGTGTATCCTCCAGGTAAGTGACTCTGGAGTGTCCCCTGTGGATCCCTTTAACAGCAAACCTACCCTGCTCTTCCCTTCCAGATTACTATTCCCTACACTTCACCCCTCTCCTATAGGTACTGCCCCTCTCCTCCTGCACACCAGGAGGAATAGTTGATGTCAGAAGTGGAATAAAAGTTGGAGGCAGGTCTGACCTCTGCCTCGTAGGAATCAGCTTTGGGCTGTTGATCTTGATCTTCCGGCTCTCTTATGAAGTTAGAGGAAGTCAGATAATGATGACACCATGCCATTTTTCAGTTGGCTTCTAAAAAAGGATTTGTTGCAATGGCTTCAGACTCAGAAGACGAAACCAGACAGAATGTTTTTGAAAACTACTTTTTCTTGTACAACTGTAAAAAAAGACAGTACAGCACCACAACACTCTACTCCTTTACTGGGTTTAAAGTGCCCAGAGGCACCTCATTCTGCCAGTAAGCCTCAACACAAAGGTTTTCAACTTTCTCACTTCTAGCATGTGTCCTGAGTCATCCCAGTCAGCCAGCAAGCCTTCTGCCCGAAGGTACTGAGCTTTCTTGTGCCATTGGTCAGTTCTGTCTCATAGTAGTCTCTTAGTTCTGCTGCCTTCTCTTGCTATCTCAGGTGCAAGGAGGTTCTTAGCACAGGGATCCTGTCCAAAGGACACATTCACTCTTCCTGAATCTTCTTTCTTGGCATTTATGAGATCCACCTTAAGCCCTGTGTGATGCAAAACCGACCAATCTCCATTTTAGGATTCCAGACACTTTATTTAAGGAGTCCTGGTGTGGCACTGCAGGTTAATGTGCTGGACTGCAAAGTCGGTTTGAATCGCAAGGTCAGTGGTTCAAACTAACTAGCCACTCTTTGGAAACCCAATACAGGGTTGCTATGAGTCAGAACAGACACGAAAGCTTTACTCCATTCACGTCTTCACAGTCAGCTGTACTTTGAGGAGACAGCTCTTCCCCAGTTATGTTTTGAATGCCTTCCAAACTGAGTGGCTCATCATCTAGTACTATATCTGACAATATTCTGGCTATTCATCATGTTTCAATATGCCATATTCTAGTGCTATTTGACAATGTCCCACTTATTTTCAGTGACTAAATATTCAGAAGTAGTCCATCTCTCCTTCTTCCTAGTCTGTCTTTATCTGGAACCTCATCTGAAATCTGTCCATCATGGTTGACCCTCTGGCATCTAAAATATTGGTCTTAGTTTCCAGATCACAGCAGCATGCGAGCTACCACAGTACAAACTACCACGGTACAAGCTGCAAGACAAATGGTGAATTTTGACCATAGAATCCTTCAATATTGCTTCCAGTGGCCTGAATTTTTTTCTTCAGTTTTTCTTAGCTTGAGACATGCTGAACATGTTCTTTACTTTTGGTTTTCTAATTCCAGGTCTTTGCACATTTCATTATACTTGACTTTGTCTTCTTGAGCTGCCCTTTGAAAAATTCTGTTTAGCTCTTTCATTTCCTCATTTTTTTTTTTTTTATCACTTCAGCATCTTTACATTTCAGAGCAAGTTTCATAGTCTCTTCTGACATCCATATTTGTCTTTTCTTTCTTTCCTGTCTTTTAAAAGACCTTTAGCTTTCTTTTTTTAAAATTCAGCTTTAAATGTAATTACATAAATACTTATTACCACAAATGGTATCTCCTTATTTTAACTTGCAATGAGATACATTAGAATCAAATATTTGAAATTTATAGCACTGTGGAGATTAATTGTGGTGAAATCAGTGAATACGTGAATAAATCAATCAATCACATTTTCAAGTAAGATCATTATTCCTAAGTGTTTTTTTTAAAATTATTCCTAAGTATTTTTTTTAAACTTACAAAACAAAGAATGTATATTCATTTAAATGTTTAAAGGGCACATTCTGCCAGCCAACCTCCTGCTCACAGGCACACAGACTTTCTCAGTTCATCGGCAAAGTCCCATGCTTTGTCTCTCCATGCCACTGCGTCTGCCACCATCTCTGTTGTCACTGCTTATCTAGGTAGAGATCATGCTCCACTCATGCTCTTCCTCCTTGATAATCTTGGGATTGTCTGTTCCTGAAATGACAGATAAACTACTCCCAGTTTTTAGCTACACATCTTCTACAATTACAGTTGTGACCATTGCAATTAATCCTGCTAACAGTTATTCACAAATGAGTCGTAAAATCCTGTCACCTTCTGGTGACACCAGATCCATCTGGAAAAAAGGGAAATTATTCAGTGGGAATTCTACCTAACCCCCCTCATTCTGAAATTAAACTCTCTCATAAAAGCTTGTAAGCCAGCCACTTCATGCCATTATTTCAGAGTTTTGTATATGTATCCCCATTCCCTTCTTGCTTGAGTGTTTTCTGCTGAGAAATCAGAGCTTAATTTTACTGGTTCTACTTTGTAGATAGATTTCATTGTCTCTGAGCTACTTTCCTTGTCTTTGATTTTTGAGAATTTGATTATGATATGTCTTGGTGATTTTCTTCTAGGGTCTTTCCTGTTTGGGATTCATTCAGCGTTTTCAATGGTTATCTTCTTGTGTTTCATGATATTTCAAGAAGTTTTCTTTCAACAGCTAGGGTCACGATGAGTTGGTACCGACTCGATGGCACCTACCAACAAACAACAACATAAGTTTATCAGAACCAACCCAGCAAGTTTTCACATGTGAATCAGACTTTGTTCAGATGTTTTCATTCATTTTTCTGATTGTTCTTATAGCTGGCTAGTATTGAGAGATTTATCTTCAAACTTAGTAATTTGGACTTGCATTGATTCAAATATACTCCTTTGCCTTTTGAAATCTTATTATTAGCCTCTGGATTTCTATTTGCAGAGTTTGTATTATCTCCAGTCCTTTATTTTGTTTGACTGTTTCTGCAGTGCTTTCCTGAATTCTTTGTTTTCCTCGACCTTCTATCAATCACTTGTTGTTGTTAGTGCCATCAAGTCAATTCCAACCCATTGTTAGTGCCATCAAGTCGATGCCAACCCAGAGCAACCCTGTATAGGGTTTCCAAGGAGCAGCTGTTGAGCTTGAACCACCAACCTTGCAGTTAAAATGACTTTGCAGTCTGACGCATTTGCCCACAGCGCCACACCAGTACTCCATCAGTCACTTGAAAGTACCTAAATATCACTCTCTTGAATTCTTTCTCAGGTAGCTCCCATGCCTTTTTTACCTTAAAAATGTTTTCTCGCTCTACATTTTTATCACCTGTTTGAGTCACTTTGTCCCGTATCTTCGTGTAAACAGAAATTTCCTGCTGCTTTTGAGACATTGTGTATATTTTTGTTAAGCAGATGATTGTATGTCAGTGTAGTTTTAGGCACGCACCAACTGCCTCCAACTGATCTGATCAGTAGATGAGTTTGTACACCATTCTCTGTTCATTGTTTGTGTAATTCAATGCAGAATGGATTTAGCTGATGTTAGTTGTGTCATTGATCCAGTGTATAGCAGCTGCTATTTGTTCTTGCCCAATGGGTGGGGCTGTAGATAGTACGGTTGAGTGGGTTGTATAGATGTAGTTGTTGTCCTCTGTTGGGTGAAACAAGAAGAGAAGGAAAACGAATACAAACCAGCAACCAACAGCAAAAAAAGAAGAAAATAGAAAGGAAAAAAAAAAAGCAGGCAATTGCTAGAAAAGGAACGTTAAAAACCAAAGAGGGAAAAGATAGTAAAATAATAAAATGGCTGCAGCCATACGTTGACAGAGAACTGCCTCAGAAGAGGCCGTGGAATGAGGAATATCATTGCTGATGTCAGGTGGATCTTGGCTGAAAGCAGAGAATACCAGAAAGATGTTTACGTGTGCTTTATTGCCTATGCAAAAGACTTCAACTGTGGGACTCATGACAAGCTATGGATGACATAGCAAAGTATGAGTATTCCAAAACACATAAGTGTGCTCGTGAGGAACCTGTACATAGACCAAGAGTCAGTTGTTCAAAGAGAACGTGGGAACACTGAATGGTTTAAAATTAGGAAAGGTGTGCGACAGGGTTGTATTCTTTCACCATACTTATTCAACCTGTATGCTTGAGCAAGTAATCCAAGAAGCTAGGTTATATGAAGAAAATGTAACATTAGGATTGGAGGAAAACTCATTAACAACCTACAGTATGCAGATGATACAACCTTGCTTGCTGAAAGTGAAGAGGACTTAAAATACTTAACTGATACAGATTAAAGACCATAGCCTTCTGTATGGATTGCATCTCAATGTAAAGAAAACAAAACTCCTCACCACTGGACCAGTAAACAACATTCTTATCAATGGAGAAAAGATTGAAGTTGTCAAGGACTTCATTCTTCTTGGATCAACTATCAACACTCATGGAAGCAGCAGTCAAGAAATCAAATGGTATATTACATTCGGCAAATGTGCTGCAGAAGACCTTTTTTAAAGTGTTGAAGAGCGAAGATGTCAGCTTGTGGACTAAGGGTATGCCTGACCCAAGACATAGTATTTTCAGTAACTTTGTATGCATGCAAAAGTTGGACAGTGGATAAGGAAGATTGTAGAAGAATTGATGCATTTGAGTTGTGGTGTTGGAGGAGATTATTGAAAGTGCCATGGGCTGCCAAAAGAACCAATAGATCTGTGTTGGAAGAAGTGTAGCCAGAGTGCTCCTTGGAGGCCAGAATGGCCAGACTTTTTCTCTCATATGTCGGACATATTGTCAAGAGTGATCAGTCACTGGAGAGGGATATCATGTTTGATATGGTCAGAGAAAAAGAGGAAGACCACCCGCAAGATGGATTGGCGAAGTGGCTGCATCAGTGGGCTCAAGTGTGACAACAATTGTGAAGTTAGCCCAGGACCGGGCAGTGTTTTGGTCTGTTGTGCAGATAGAGTCGTTATAAGTTAGTACCGACTCGATGGCACCTAACAACAAACACAGTTAGAGAGAGGAATGAGTAAAAGGGAAAGAGTCGATAGAGTAGTTTAAAAAAAGAAAAATAAATTGATGAAGAAACATT